AAGATTGCAATACTGTATAATTTTCTAAATATTAACTAATTCTTATATTATGAAATAATTTTCTCTCTATGCTCAATTTTTTTCTGCGTGGAAACAAAACAAATAATTGACAAATTTTAATTTGACGTTATTGTATATATAGAAAAATAAAATATTTGAATTGCAGTTGACGCTGCGTTGAAACGTATGCACAGATCAAGTAGATCGGGCCTCGTTAACAGGAAAGAAATATAAAACCAAAGACGCAGAGGGACAGGTTTAAAACCTTTATGTTTGTGCACAAACTGATTCTTTCATATTAAACCAGGCACAATAACTTTGATCCGTTATTCAAGTAAAACAGAAAAAAAAGATGAATAATTTGAGTCTTATTCATCATTATAAATATTCCGTGTCGAAGATATATTAACAATTGTCTGCAGTCCATTGAGTTATATAAATGGTATTTTTAATTTGAAATGTAAACAAAATTCTGATGAAAAAAAAAAATATTATAAAATCTAATGAAATGGGCATGGCTTTCAAGTTTCTTACTGTTTGAAGATATTGCTCCCCTTTTGCAAACATTTCAGAAAGAACATTTGAAAGTTCATATTAATTGTGAGTAAATAATAAATTGTACACGGCAGTCCAACATACTGTAGACGTAAGTCACTTTAAAGTTCCATGATGTTAAAGTAGATTGGGGGTTAAAGGAAAGAATTCTTAAAATCATTTTTGAGGTTTAAAAGTCTTTATGTTTATGAATCTTTCAGGGTAATAAATGCGTTATTCACAGTAAGAACACTGTGAATAATTTAAGTCTTATGTTCATTATAAATATTGTTGACATTGTCCTAGAATATTAACAATTTATCCATTTTTTTAAATTATTCAATGATTTTTCTTAGATAATATTTGAAATGTAAACATTAATTCTGATGAAAAAGGGCAGAATATTTTATCTAATTCAAAATGGGCATGGCGTAAAGTTTCTTACTGCTTTGAACTATTGCTCCCCTTTTGCAAATATTTCAGAAAGAACATTTGAAAGTTCATATTACAGGAGATAAATAATAAATTGTACAGATAGTCCAACATAATTAGATAATAAGTATTTTTCATGATGTTAAATAGCTTTTGGGGGTTTTAAAAAAGAAGCAATTCTTAGAATCATTTTTGAAAAAAGTCTTTATATGTTCTTTTAGGGTAATAAATGCTAATTCACATCGGAACACTGTGTGCTTGTAAGGGTTTAAATAATGTTTAGTTTTCTTGGTGTTGACATTTCCTACAATGATGCAAATTTATCATTTTTTTTAATTATTCAATGATAGTTTCTTAATAATATGGCAATACTAAAGTTGATTGAAATCTATTGGCATTAATGCTGAAAAAATATAATCCAAAAGAAATCTTTACATTTCACTTATTGATAAATTTATGATATATCCCCTAATATTAGCAAAATATAGTGAAAAAAGATCAACTATATAATATTTATCCATTAAACAAAGCATAATGTCAAGGGACCTTTTGATACGCAGAAAAATAACGTCATGTTTCTGCATACTACGACATCAGTTTCAGAGAGTGGTGATATGGATTCAGAAAACTACAGTTTGTGATCCAGTAGGCCGCATAACGAGGTCAAGTGATTGCTTAGAATAAATTAATAGTAAAACTGAGGGACACACAGGTGGGAATATAATAATCACATTAAAATTTGTTTCCACAAAATCGTTCCAAATTACATTGTCAATTATTTGAATTTTCTTCACCCAAATGTTTCTCTTTTTGCAATAAAATTTGACAATTTTTAAATTTATTTGAAAGAAGTAAAAAAAAATTGACGTTATCAAGTTTTTGAAAGTAATGAAATTTTAATGAATTTAAACCCTTCACTTCCTCACCAGGTGGCGCGTTTAAACACGACTTCGCTAGAAAAGGATTTCCGTATCTTGTTTATGGCAGCAAAAAGGTATAACTCTATATATTATTTGTTTGCAGATGAGGGATATCCAGATATTGAAATAACCAGAATACAGACTTTCGAAAGTTTGACATTAGGGGTCGCAGAAGGATCTCATTTTGAGGAAACTTTCAAAAGGTTACATGTAACACATTTGAAAAGCGTAAACGTGCTTCCAGAAAAATCATAATTCTATCTAACAAACACCACATTTGTCATATTGTCCAACTTTTCAAAATGTTACTTTAATTAATTTCCTGTAAATTAAATGTTTTCTGATGTAAGTAAAGAAATATTTGCTCATTTTCATTTCTAAAAAATGTCCAAATTGCGTTCCGTGGATTGCGTGATATGACCGTTGTCTACTATCCTTGAAATACCTTCAGACTAAAACAATGGATACATAATTACAAATCTTCTATTTTTAATCTCACCGTAGTTTAGGCTACGTATATTATAGAAAAAATTCCATGTAAAGAACTCACTTGATAATTAAGTATCAGTAGTTTCAAAAATTTATCATGTAAAGGAACACCTCTAGGTAAATTTATGCGTTGACCTATATGGCGATATTGGTTTCAGTTTTTAGAAAAAGGTTATATCCGGTCGCTGACTTTAGGCCACACACGTGTACATGTATGTTTCTTGTCTTTTATGTATTGCTTTAGTTCTAATCAGGACATAAAACCTTAACGGACCATACAACATTCCTTTCTAATCTGTAAACCTTCCTTTCTGCATTTTTAACATATCGCCAATGCATACATTTTCTCCGAGGAATAAACTGCATCTACTCTGGGTAAAGCAGTATCTCTCCCACTGAAAAAAACAGCACAGTAACCCAGAGATGTTCTTTAAAGCAATCTACAGAACATTGATTTTTTCAAGAAAATCATTCTCTCTTGTAGTCAAATCCTTTGTTATTACGAATACATCCTTTCAACTCTCATTGTTGACAGGCTTTGCCATTATATGTTTAGGCTTCAGACCAGGAGAGGACGATTTTTCAACTGATATTGAGAAATGCATGGACACATATGACAGGAAACTTAATAATTAGATATCATTGAATAATTCTAATTTAATTAAATAAATTACATTTCCTCCTTTCTTGATGAAATCATATTGATTTTAAATAATATTTTTCCATTTTCAATATGAATATTCTTGTTTACAAGAATCACGCCATTGACAATTTCCTTTACAAAAAAAATCTTCCTAATTTGATAATCATTGACAATTTCCTTTTCAAATATGTATTGCTTCCCAGATTGATAATTGAAAAAAAATTAGTTAATAAGGAATCTCCTCGAGATTTTTTTTAAAAATATGTATTTTTGCTCTATTTCTTTGCATATTCCTCGTAAAAACATATCTTATAGATAGTTTATCTTATAAAAATAAACTGTTTTCAGAAATAAAAAGTCCATCTATGTCGGACTGTAGGTCATTCCTTATAAGTTCACCAAGCTCCCTGTATAGCCGACACAGTATCACTACATATAATCGTTGTCAAAGTGCCACCAACGTACCGACTACTTAGTATGTAGACAATGTCTTCAATATTTTGCTTACCGTTCACGGTAGCTCAGTTCAACGCTCCGTGATCGGGAGGTTGTGAATTCGTATCTCGACCGCGACTGACCTAGTCGATAAAATGGTTAGCACCTGTTCCTTCGCCATGCGTTCGGCGTGAGACCTTAAAAACCGAGGCCCCGTGTCAGCGGCAAGCGTTGGCACGATAAAGATCTCTCACTGCTCAATGGCCCTGAAGTCCGAGTAAAGGTCAAAATTTAAAGCCCTTCACCGGCATACGGTGACGTCTTCATATGAATGAAAAATTCTCGAGAGGGACATTAAACAATATACAGTCAATCAACATTTTGCTGCAATCTAAATAATAACCTGTTTCCGAAGTACCACATGTGTGATGGTACATATTGTTGCTCGTTTGAGAGTGAGATGTCGGATAGATAAGTTAACAAGTAATAAATAAGGTAAAGAGAAAACATTTGGATCAGAAAATTGCCCAGGATTGGTTGATTTTATTTTGAAATACCAACATACCGAATTACATGTATGGTTTAAACAGATACATCAGCCTATTCTTTTTTTTCATTATAAATATTTGGAGATTGAAAACGTAGGTAACAGTCTTTTGATTTGAAAGATAAAATAACAAACTCGGTTTTAGTATGTCTGTATAAATAAACAATTGTCACCAATAAACTTAAAAAAAAAACAACATTTATATCTTTTGAAGCAGGTTTTCAAACAGCTATATTTCAATATAACAAACAGACATTAAAATTTGTAAGAACTTATAGTTGAATTTTCATGCATCTGAAAACTTTTTAGCTCCAAGGTAAAATTCATATTTTTAATTCCCTCAATACTCTATGCAAATATACTTGAATAGAAAAAAGTCTAAACCATGTATATTTTAAGGATTTTTTAGTATACATATACAGATATATTGTAAACCAATTCTTTTTCGTATTTTGGTTAATGGTAACGAATTACGGATATTATATAGCAAATTAAATTCAGAGTTAACTTTACTGTAACCGAGCATTTTAAACATTTGTAGAACTGATATCAGTGACGCAAAGTTGAAGAAAGTCTGCATGACAGCCTACAATTGGTGCAATGTGAATATGTGCTAATTGCAAGTTGCTAAAAATGTTCATATGGCTTGGGGGTAAAGACTGACTAGAGTGGGGTGGAGTTGAGTAATGAGATAAAGTCTGTTCTGTAACGGTACAGAAATTTACTGAGTAAATTTCTTACATATACATGTATTCTATATATTCCCCCATTGTCACATTTGATTTGTTTAAAACAATATGAAAAACAAGCGAAATAGGCTGAGAAATATTAATTAACCTTCATTCCTACCTCAAAACAGAAAAAAAAAACGTATCACGAAGTGTTTTCAGCTTTAATTCCATACAGGTGAATTGCAAACAACTGCACCGAGGAATTGAATTTTACAGGCACGCATTTATGTATGACCAGTTCACCTTTTTATGTTCAAAAGTATAGATTTTTAACAAGACAAGTTTGGACGTAAATGAGAAGAAATATGATCCCAAATGGAACAGTTCGGATTGCTGTCAAAATCAGACATTTTTATTACTTCTATACACCACCAAATGTACCTTAAATCTTTTGGCATTTTCGCAGGAGAAATGTCATCTTTCATTAACACGACAATAGATTGTTCTTTGTGGTTATGAAAAGCATGCGTAACTGTCATTTGAACAGCGTAAGACTCCCATCCACTCTCCAAGAATTTCTCTGTGATAACAAACATTACCTTTCGACTGCTGTCAATGCACCTGAGCATTTCTTTTGCTTTAGAAAGACCGGGAAGAAAATCTTTCTCTGGTAAACTTACACGGATTCCTTGTCTCGTTAATTCCTCGTACAAGATATCAGTCACCCATTCATAGTCGTGTTCAGAATGCGACAAGAACACATCGAACTCATAAACAGTATTAGTCCTATTTCTCATGACACCTTTCCATCTGTTACGCAATTTTAAGATGATGTAATCTACGTGAACACGATATCTTTTTACTGCTCCCGCTGAAATCAATATCACCATGAGGACAAAAAGAACAAAAGATGTATAAATCAGCCATTCTTTGGTTTGGCAGTTGAGTTCAAGTTTTCGGAATGCAACATCATGCAAACAGTTTGCCAAATCTTGATTGTTTTCAATGCATTTAGTACTTTTCAGATCTTTGATGGTCAATTGGTTATTCTTCATCCACTTCATGGAGGATAATTCTGAGCATGCGCAGCTAATTGGATTTCCTTCGATAAATATTTTTACGTTCTTTAACTGATTTATGATGGCAATGTCAGATGATTGGAATGACGATATCCTATTGTATCGAAGTGACAGAATTGAAAGGTTCTTCAGCATTGATATTGAAAATGGAATGGAGGAAAACAAATTGCCGTCAAGTTTAATAGTGTGCAGGGATTTGCTTTGGTCACGAAATAGATAAGATGGTAGGAATGTTAGGGAATTAATACTCAAATCCAACGTTTCGAGTTTTGAAAGGTTGTTGAATAAATACTGGCTTTCAGAATATTTTCCCAACTTAAGCTGAACATTTGACACAGCTACAGATTTTAAATTAATCGAGAATTTGAACAGTTTGGGATGCATTTTGTTGCATTGATTATCTGAAATATCTAGGACTTCTAATTTTGGGGTATGTAAGGGAGATAAATAGTTGCAAGGAAAATTTGTATTTCTGAAGTAGACTTGTTTCAGATGTCTTCCAATAAATGTTATCTCTCTGTTCTCAAAGGACTTGTTGTGAAAATTGTGATTGTAATTATATGAATAATCCAAAGTACGCAAATGGCTTGAAATTCTTATGGTAATCGTTGAAGTATCTAAATATAAAGATTCAGAAAGTGTTGATGGTGCTAGACATGGGCTATTTCCCTCGGCTCTTATAACTTCTAATTTTGGATACGTACATAATAAATGTAAAGCAATCTCTACATCAATTACGGATATATGGTTATATGATAAATCTAATTCTTCGATACATTTGCCGAGTGGAGTGTTGTATGGATCGACTGAAATTCCCACTATTGAGTTATCACTAATATCAACTTTTCTAGCACAAATGTTTAATAAATACTCACTATTCCGCTTAGTAAGTATGACATTGGTGCCTGATATAGTTTTTATGTTAGAAGGCATGATGAGATACTCTAAAGATCTGTTTTGAAGGCATTTTAGAGCTCGCAAAGCAGGAAATACCCCACACCTTCCTGAAAAGTTTATTATAACCCCTTTTAACAATGGAAATGAACAAAATAAATCCTCACTTATGTCACAAAATACATAGCGACCAAAAAACATGTTTAGATAGTATATGGGTGATTCAGAGAGGCCATAAAATGTGACATTTGTTAAATGAAAAGAAGATCCTATTGTATGAAATTCAACTTTACTCAAGTTTTTTAGATTTGTAAACGGCTTATTAAATTGAAATCCAGAAAAGACATCAACTAAGAGAGTCTGTAAAGCAATCAAACGAGATATTTCTATTTCGGGATATCCATCAATTTGAAACTTATTATCATTCAAGTTTAGATACTTTAAATTTTGAGATTCAGCTAAGGCGCCTTCCTCGAAGGATGTTTTCTGTAGTCCACAGCTGCTTATATCCAAAGCACAAAGATTCCGAAATTGTGAGAAGGCCCGGCTTTTGATAAATCTTAGTTGGTTTCCCTGTAAGTATATGGATTTTACTTTTTGCAAAATATGTTTGGGGACACCAGTGAATGTTTTAGGAGATAATACACTGAAGTTGTTATTAGATAGATCTATGGCTAAGTTTCCACTGACTATTGGGAAGCTTTTTGGAAATTTGCTGATCTTTAGATGGCTGCAATTTAATAGTTTCCCGACATTTCCACATTTATCGGTGAATGTTGTTAACCTGCAGTTGTTTTGTAGTCCTGTGACAAAACCTAATATGAAAATTTAATAAATGTCATAATGGATTGACCACTGATATTTTTAAAGGGGTTTGTATTGATTTCAGTAACCACATGCTAACAACAACTTTTAAAACCTTTTTTTTCGTTTTTATTGAACATATATGTGGAGTTTCCATGCAATGACAAAATATGAACACTGTTTTTCTTTCTATATAATCGGAGCTCTCTTATTTTAAAATTTAATTAAACTTCACAGGGTGTAGTAAACGGTATAATAGTGCCTGTGGATTTTTAATTTTAGAAGAATGAGTAAACAGTCTTCAAATCTATCCTATCAAAGTTAAGAATATTTATTGCAGTTGCATAAATTATTTATTTATTTGTAACATCATCATCGTATACATATTCAAACAATAAATAAGGAAAAAATAGGTCAGCGGGTCGCCAGGTCAGTTGGTCAACAGGTCAGTAGGTCGACGGATCAGCAGGCCGACATGTATAAATTGTATACCACGACACTCAATTAAACTTTATGGCCCCACGTGTTAGATTTCTTCTTCTAAATAAACACATGTTAATTCGGTTACAAGTCTACTTGCTTACCTTTCGACATGCAAACCTGTTGACTTGTACAAGTGTTTACTGGCTTACGTCGCTTACTTGTCGACCTGCTGACATGTCTACCTGTACTCAAATTAATAAGCTTACCTACAATTTTAAGCCCTATAATAAGTGTTTATCTCTTTCGCATTTATTTAATTTATTATTTTTAGTTTACATACATTTGTATTCAAATAATTCAGCTTCGAATCCCGCTGCGGGACGTGGAGACCGGTCCTCCGGATGAGACCGTGTAAACTGAGGTCCCGTGTCGCAGTAGGTGCTAGCATGAAAAAGATCCCTTATTGCTCAATGGCCCTAAGTGCCAAGTATAAGACAAAATTTGTAGCTCTCCATCTGCAAGTGGTGGCGTTTCCATATGAGTGCAAAAACTCAGATATTATTGGTTTTCCAAAGGAAAAGAGGCACTTTGTTATTATACTCAAATGGGAGTGGTGAGGGGGATAATTTTAAGAACTCGCTGCTCAAAGAACTTTAATTATATCTTAAAATATGCATATTCAAAAATGTAATAGCATTAGCTGCAGATCTGTAGGGTTATGGTTTTATATATTAGTCATTGACCATAGCGCTACAGATCCCGTAATACAAAAAGGTGCAATTTACGATGCAATATTTTTTGAGCACTTTTGAGGAGAATTTCTCTACTTTCCAGCATTGGTCAATTAACTACCTTTCACTCTCTAATTCTAGGCACATTATTTAGCTAATCTGTATATTTTATCCATCTCCCAACCCTTTATAGTCGTCTCTACAAGTGATAAACTCGCTTCACGTCAAGCGAGTTTATTTCCTGTTGAGACGACTAGAATTAACGTATCGCCAAACCCCGCCCATCGCACTATGGGAAATAACTCAAATAATGCTCCGACATCATCAACACGGCGAGTTAGTCGGACGCCGGTGTTGACTTGCTTGAAGTTCCTGTTGATTTTGCTGTAAAATATTTGCCAAACGAACCCACTTTGAGACAAAAACAAAGGGCAAATGCTTTTAAAAAGGGTTCATTTATTCATTTACTTAAAATATTCAAAAATGATTCCGTATTATCCCTTTCTGGAAAAGTTTATCAAAGCATGAGAAAGTCCGAGCTCCCTCATACTGTAAACATCCAAAAAATAAGGTACAGAAGCACATTGCGAATTCAAAATCCATACGACATTGTAACGACATGCTTAAATTAGTTTCTATCTATAAGGGGACGATCATTTGATTCTGAAGGCCCGGTGTCTGGCTGATAAGTTGAGTCATTTTGGATATAAATAATATGTCCTCTACTAGAAAGAAATAATCCGCCCCACCTACCACCACGAATAATCTTGAGTTGTCTTGAGTTGTCGGCGGTGTTTTCCTTTTTTTTTTGTTTTGTTTTGTTTTTTTTTCATGTTTTTTTTGCTTGTTTTTTTTTTCTTCGGTAAAGAGGAGAATAAATAATCTGCCATTGGAAATAAATAATTCGTCCATCACCGACATGAAAATAAATAATCTGACTCGCAAAATAATTGCAAGCCCCCACCTCCCTTTCCAGAATCAAATGGTCGTCTCATAAATCTCTCCGGTCATTTCGACTCTGGTAAAATCTTTCTTCCTTACTTTTAAGTTCTGGTGGAAAATGTGCACACGTTATAGCAATAATAGAAAGTAGGTGCATGGTGAAGATTTTGAATAATATTGGTCAGATATATGTTACCCTGGTATACAAATCTAATATACAATGTTTGCGTTTTTTCTGCGACAATCTTCACCTAACAATTTTTCATTGTAATTTATAAGTACCCTCCTTATGTCAGTCGGACTGATTCGTTTAATCATATATCACTTTTTGAGATATTGATTATAATATCGGTGATGACAATGTGTATGTCTTTTTTTTTTTTTTTTACAGAAAAAGCTATTAAATCTTGATAATTTCGATATTTTGCCTAAAGATGTATGATGGTGCTCTCAATTCCAGGTAAATATATAATGCTAGTAATGGGGGGGGGGGGGGGTAATTAAAAATTGATTTTTAGTGATGAAATAAAATTGTTTTTAATGGGTAGATTAAATTTAATTCTATCCCCCCCTAAAAAAAGGGAGTGAAAATGAAAGTTTATAAACATAATCCTGCATATGCAATAAAATTTGGTAACTTTAAGAAACGAGTCGACAATATTAATACGACAAATGTGAAATTAGATACTCAAAAAGCGTATAGTGCTCTTACAAAACAGCAATTATTTATTTGTACCTATCCATATGTATAGATGAGAACAAGGCTAAGGGTTTCTTTGTACTAGTAACAGTTTATGTCGTGTTATATTTTTTGATTTGGAGATTTTTTAAGTTAATTGTGGTCGAAGAAATGAAATTTCTCAAGATCAATGGCTTTAATTCGTTGTGCATTGGCATACCTATATTCAAGGAGTTTGTTCCTGGTATCCTTGTAGATTTTACATATATACCAATAAGAAATAGTTATCCATTTATTTGCACATTATGACATTTGCGTCTAATGTGGCAGGATTTCATTTAGTGTAGAGTCATCCGTACGCTCGATGATCATGTTTTGTGCGGAGTTTATATGTATGCTTATGGGTCGAAGTTATCCATACTTTCACTGTCTGGTTTTAAAGTATATATGCCTTATTACATCTAAACATAGTGGCAACTTCATTTCATGTTCATTGCAGTCAATTGCAAGAAAGAGTATCACAATACTTCTTAGTTGCTACAAAGTACATGTTACAAATAGTGGTATCTCGTATACATGTGACATTTTATTCTTTTGTAATGGAGTTAACATATTTATTCTGATTTATCGACATTTCTTTAATTTGCTATTGATAAAATTGGTAGAATCATGGAATATGTAGAATTTCGTCAAAGCGAATCCTCTCAGCAGAGAATTAATCGATTACTATCAGTATGATTGTAATACAATATATATTTGATATGACGGTTATTCTACAGGAGGAAATTTACTCTTTCTGTTCAATGTTGCTACATTTAGTGTTTCTATGAGCATGATAATGTACATGATGTATCACATTGTTTACAACTCAGTTGTTGGTTTTTTTTTTTGCGTCCTTTCTTTAAATGACACCTTAGACTTAAAAGTATTCATATAATTTTCATGTTTAAGTTGCAGATGCCTTTTGATGAATTTGCCAGTGTGCACAAATTTGCTACGTCCTAGCAGCCCGAGTGAAGAGGAAGCGTAGCTATAACTGTTAATAGACCAGAGAGCCTAGCAGAATTGTGCCGGATGCCATGAATGTTAATGACACAGGTTTGAACTGTTTAACAAATATTGACTCAGCGAGCGGTTCTATCTAACAAATTGCATAAGATCCGCACCACCGATGGATAATGTCCTAAACCAGCCCGTCCACTAGTGTTTTCTAAATACAATTTGACTTTACCAACAACTTTCATGCTATCCGCCGGTATAAGATCCATATGTTTGCTAGCTTAACTGCTTGCAGTGCTGCTACAGGTGTGCCCCAAATCAGCCGGGTAACCAGGATATCCACTACCATTGGTTCACAAAGCATCCATACAAGCTAGAGCATTCAATTTGGTTTCGAAGAAAACATTTACAGGCGAGTCAGCAAGTAAATAATATACGACGATCCCTCCCTCCATGATATTTCAAATAAGTTCCCTATATAGCTAGTAAATATAGGTTTAATTTATTTTTATAAATGAGTACAGACCCCATGCACGGTCAGTACATTAAATGAAAGGATTTTCAATTTATGTCCCTTTTCGGAAATTAAGCATTGTCAGGCTAGAATACAATAATAATAATTATAATAAATTATTTTAAAATGTTTCTAATAGACAGCATAATGAAAGACATTGTTTTGATTTACTAGCTCATGTTGTACATTGTACGTTTCTGCGGTCTTTATCTTTAAATATTGATTTGCATTAATTAACCCCATGTAAAATTTTCTCAATCATTTATTTATATAAATGTTCTATAAATTTTCAGTCTTGTTTGACATCTGTAGTTGAAAGATAATCCGTTTTCTTTTGATGTTTAGGAAGGGCATTTTTGCACATGGTGGCAGTATTTCATTCTTGACATCTCTTTCCTGTCTGACGATAGCAATGTTATAAACTCATTCTTGTTATCAAATTTATGGTAAGATCCTAGGATTGCGTTCTTTGAGTTTGCTATGCTTAGCTCTACATAATTTCAGTGTGGTAAATTAATGTCTTACGGATTCCCTATGCTCATGAAATTTTCTATCCTTAATTTTAATTGGCCGGTCAGTTTGAAAGTAGGCAGAGTTGTCAAAGAACCGATTTGTGAGTTTGTAAGGAAGGCAATCTAGGAACATTATTGTGTTATTCAGTTTTGTATTCCATTTACGAAAGTTGTTCCAAATTTGTGAAATTTAGATTTTTAGATTTACAATAAATTCTGATCTTTAGAACCAACTTTTCAATTGACACAATATTACATGGTGAATTTAGTTTAATCTAGGAATGTTACACTCTATCCAAAACGCTTAGGAACATAATGAATTAACCTTCATCGTGCAAAACTTCTTTATACTTTTTGGAATAGAAGTATGGTAGATTCCTCCATTAAAAGGGCATACTTCATGGAATTAAAGGATACAACCTCTTGGGTCCGCGGTTCCAAGAGAAAGGGCTGTTATGCAAATATTTTGGGGTTGTTTATATTTGTTGAATTCCTGATACAAATTTAAAAAAAAAAAAAAAAAAAAAAAAAAAAAAAAAAAAAAAAAAAAAAAAAAAAAAAAAAAAAAAAAAAAAAAATAAAAAAAAAAAAAAAAAAAAAAAAAAAATAATAATAATAATAAATAAATAAATAAAATAAACACTCGCATAGATATAAAGTTAAATAATTCAAGGTTGTAATAAGTAGAATGATATCTGACCGTGTGTCCTCCTCATGAGCACTCTCCGCATGATTCTTCTTCAATCTTCATAATTCTCTCAATTTATTATACCTGTTTTGTGGAACTAAAGTATGTACAGTAATTTAATTGTACCTTGATCTCAAATTGAGGGAACTACAATATAGGTCCGAAGATCAAATATTAGTCAATGTTAATTATTGTTTTGTTCCACTTAAAAATAAATAAATAAATAAATAAATGAATAAAAAATAAATAAATAATTATAAATGAATAAAATAATAATAATAATAATAATATAGCATTTAATTACTATGTTTGTTCTAGAATGTAGTTTAATTGCGAGTCGGTGTTTAACTGCAGTTTCTGTTCTATTCATGATAAATACTTAGATACTGTGATGTGGTTTAAATACAGGTTAGTGATTTAACTGCTGTTTTGTTCTACTCGTGAAAATTAGTAAGATATTAGGATGTAATTTAAATGCAAGTCAGCGATTTAACTGCTGTTTTGTTATACTCACGATAAATATTTTGATACTCACTAAGTATGTAGTGTAAATACAGGTCAGTTATTTAACTGCTGTTTTGTTATATTCATGATAAATAGTTAAATATTAGGATGTAGTTTAAATACAGGTCAGTGATTTCACTGCTGTTTTGTTCTACTCTTACAATTAAAAATACCGTAAGGAACATGTTAATTCCCACATTGACAGGTCAGTGAATACCTGCTGTTGGATATCTAAATACTCCTCGTCTGACTTTGCTTACTTGCTGGCTCAATAAACAATACTTTTCGATATGTCATTTTCTCTGAAATTAGTTTTCTTCCATACTTACATGTATTACTCAATATTGTTATTTATTAACATTGCTCGGATATTATATTAATACCGGTATTTCCTCCATTATTTGACATGTAACTACATTTTAGTGATAACTGGTAATGGAATAATTAATGAAAGGTAGAATTTTGTTTTTCATTTCATTACTTTAAGATGTTTGGAGAGGCCAGTGATTAACTGCCTTCATATAGATTTGATGTGTGCAAGCTCACCTTGGATGGCACGGATGTGATTTGCATGTCACATCTTACATGGATGTGACCTGCATATCACATCTTGTGGCCTATTTTATTTTGATGTGCCATCTATTTGCTAACTTTTTAATATGATGTTTTGATTGTCTTGTCTTACAGATACTTTTTTATAGTCAGTTTTGGGGGATCAGACATTATCATATTTTACGTAACTGATAAGCAAAGCTTGTGAATCTGATCCCCCTTCTTGTTTGTTAAATTGTTCACATTTATACCGTCATTTTAATAAATGACATTTTTCATCAACATCAAAGTGTTTTATTTGACTTTACAAAATTAGCAAAAACAAGCTGCGGTGATCTTGCCTATAAGCATTAGAAGACATAAAACAGCAATTATTAGAATAATAATTGTATTTATGTATTTAATGCGATAATTCGTTTGGAGGTTTTCGGAAACATTTACGTTAGTAAATTGTGAAAATTCTCAGATCCACGCCTTGCCTAATTGTAATGGAATGTGTAAGGTCACGTGGTCAGCTCAGCGAGTCATTCACACTCGCGCGCTCACCACCGCTAACATGAAGCACGTCTATTTTGAAGACCCACCTCCACCCCAACATTCCTATCCCTTAATATGATCATTAATGTGTCATGTAAAATTTATATTATATTATAGTTTTTACTCAATTGTTTTACGCTTTCATGTATTTGGTTTTGATTATGATCTTTTTGCAAACTTTTTCTTTTGAGGTTTTGTTGGTGTCTTTGATGTACCATCTTTTTGCCAACTTTTTCTTGTGATGTTTGCCTATTTTATTTTGATGTGCCATCTATTTGCTAACTTTTTAATATGATGTTTTGATTGTCTTGTCTTACAGATACTTTTTTATAGTCAGTTTTGGGGGATCAGACATTATCATATTTTACGTAACTGATAAGCAAAGCTTGTGAATCTGATCCCCCTTCTTGTTTGTTAAATTGTTCACATTTATACCGTCATTTTAATAAATGACATTTTTCATCAACATCAAAGTGTTTTATTTGACTTTACAAAATTAGCAAAAACAAGCTGCGGTGATCTTGCCTATAAGCATTAGAAGACATAAATATATGTGTACGTATTTTGACAATAATTTTGAAGATAAACATGCACTCTTATGAACTGATGATATTCTATTCTATAATCACCCATCATAGTTTAGATATATATTCATATTATTTTTAACTCAAAGACAGTCTGTCAATCGCTATGCTGTGCATAGATCTAGATTTATCATTAAGTTACACCCAATACCGATTTTTTGTGTATCAGACTAAGAAAGTATACATGTATAAGCATAAAATTCAAGTACACGAGTTTTATTTCATTTCCTGATCAAAATATTTAGAAGTCCCGAAACGTGTTAACCAAAGTCCCGTCCATGTTGTCATGTCCCGAAACGTCGGCGTCCCGAAGCATCGAGGCCCCGAAACATCTATAATTCCCTTTCGGGATACCTGTCGTCGGTGTTACACGTTCTCTAACTGCATCATTTTAACCATAAAAGACTTATTTCTTCAATTTGTTTATTGTCAAAAACTCAGTCCAGAGCGAGTGTTTGTCGGAGCACATGGCGGAGCCATCGTCGGAACCTACGGGTTTTCTCTCCGTTACACTGCATTTAAATGCAGTGTAACGGAGAGAAAACCCGTGGGTTCCGACGATGATGGCGGAGCAAGTGTTTACTGAACGCGCAGAATAAACGAAATTATTTCATTTGTTGAAAATTTGTTGTGATTGACAGCTGTTGATACGTTAATTAGGGAGTGAAAGGTAGTTAATTGACCAATGCTGGAAAGTGGAGAAATTCTACCCAAAAGTGCTAAAAAAAATATTGCACTGTAAATTGCACCTTTTTTGTACTACGGGATCTGTAACCTTATGGGCAAAAACTAATATATAAAACCATAACGCCATAGCTCTGCAGCTAGTGATACCATATAATAGAAAAATAATTTTTACATGGAATATTAAATATTTTATGTCATCATCTGTTGAAGCATTTAGGATTTGTATATACGTATTTAACCGCCTGGATAAAATAAAAAAATTAAGTTTTGTCAAACATACTTACAGATTGCTTGAACAAAAATCGACAGAGTCACAAGCATTATGATTATGTATGGGTTGATAGCCATTTTCCTAGTTTTCAGATCAGTGAGAATTTGCTCTGAAAAGTGAAGTTTAATTACACCTGTGCACTTTATAAATTTTATGTACTCACTCTGCATTTAGACATTAAAAGGGAAGTTTAAAAAAAAAAAAAACCTTGATAAACGGATATTTGTTTGCAATTGGGTTTTAACCCTCTTAATTTGTTGGCTTATAAATAAATCAATAAAAATGAAATAAAATAAATGTTTTCTATTGTGGTTTCATCATTATTCGTGAAACATCAACAAGATCAACTCTCATGGATATCGTTGTTGAGTCGATCCACGAAATCAAATATTCAACGAAGTTTGGTGCCTCCATTTTGATTTAAGATAAACCTTTAAAAAGCCTTTCCGATTTCCGTTAATATATGTAAAATACCCCTTTCCCCCTTTCCCAACAGATTAACTTTATAGACATATTTTATAATTTTAAGAATATTAAAAAAGAGGAAGAAATACTTTTACATAATTATCCAGACTTTTTAAATATATTTTAACATTCTGCACGGAGAAAAACAAACCGCACGTAGATCTGTCAGCGCAGTTAACATAAATACCAATCAGCGGTATTACCCCAAAAGAATGACATTCTTGATAAATGTGTTAAATTTATTTTCTCAAACAATATAAGGATCAAACCCTCATTATCATCTGCGCAATGAAAACAACAACTTATCGTTACTTAAGGAATGACTCTAGGCGAAATTATCGAGTATAACCTGGTTTGGGTCAGTTTAAGCTCTCTAAAAAGCGTAAACTGACCCAAACCAGGGTCCCAAATCCATAGAGTGTATGCCCATGCACTAAATTGATTTCTTAATATCCCCACATTATCCTCCGATGTACTAGCATACAAATAAACGGCAGTATCTATCTAATAAGAAATATACTATAAAACAGAAAATATATTAATAAAATGATGAAGAAGACATTGAATGCAAGTTAATGGCCTACTGAATATCTGTAAATAATATTTTATAATCATAGAATGCTTTTTTGTGGAGAAAATAGCACTAGATGCCGTTTTACGAAATGACGTCACATCCATAAATGGATTGCTATCAGTGACCTGTTTATAACTTGTTGTGTAACGATAAAACAGCAAACTGTAGTAAGTTTTGATGTAGTTTGATGGTTTCATTCAGGTTAAAAGAGCAAATCATCTAATTTTGTGGTATTTTTAATAGTTGTTGGTTTTGTATGATGTCATGGTTAAGTTTTCTTGTACAAATTAGGCTTCTCTCCCTTTTTGTAGCCATAACAAGTATTGATAGTCTCAAAAATTTATCATGTAAAGAAACACTTCTAGGTAAATTTATGCGTTGACCTATGGGACCGATATTGATTTCAGTCTTTAGAAAAAGGTTACCGATATCCGTTTCGATCGCTGACTTTAGACCACATGCAAGTATTTTCTTGTCTCTCAAGTATCGCTTTCTTTCTAATCAACTGTGTGTTCATATAACCCTGCCTCAGTATTTACAGATATATCCTTTGTATGAGGTTCCGAACGTGATGCCTGGGTGATTGCAATTTGACATAAAATCTTAACAGACCTTACAACATTCTTGCAACATTCTTTCATTTCATTCTTTCAGTCAGCATATTCTAATGAACACATTTCCCCAAAGAAATGGACTGCATCTACTCTGCAAAGCGAAGTATCTCTCCCAACAGTACACCAGAGATGTTCTTCAAAGACAAACGCAACATTTTTCTCGGCATGTTTTGTTTCGTGACACACGCAGTATCGAGTAAAAGTGAATGATTCGTGTCCACGAACAAATTGCTTACTTTAAGGTTTACACCTCACAAAACTTTTAAGTGTTCACTCTAATAAATGTAATTATTTAAAAACTACTTTTTAGAATATTATGATATTTTTATATTATTACAAAAAATGTGTTTTCTCAACAAATTGTTGAAAGAAAATCAAATATCACCAATGAAAAAAAATGTAAAAAATAATAAATCTGTTCTTTGTAGCGCGTGTTTTTCTAATTAGCATCTTTTTGGGATCATTATTAAATTTCAAAAACTGGTTTTACTAAAAACACAAAACATTGGCAAAATGAATATTGTTAAAAGAAGGGAGAGCTATTGGAATGTTGATATCTGGATCATCCTTGCACCACATTTTACTCACTTTTATTTTATCATACCCCAGCTTGAAAAGCGGGAGGGTATTGTAGATCACTATATTTTCGCGACACCTTATTTTCGCGAGATAGTCATTGACTCTTGATTAGCGCGACAAAACTTTCACGAATTGTGGTTCTTGCTCTTTATAATCTTAAGAAATGCTATTATACGTGAGAATTAAATTTTCGCGAGTACACTGTCTCGCGTAATTACGCGAAAATAAAGTTCTCGCGAATAAAAAGTGATTTGCAGTATATTGTAACCGTTATGTCCGTCCGTCCGTCCGTCTGTCTAGCTGTCCGTCCGTCCGCTTTGGGGTACCCATGTCTTATCCGCAAATCCTTTCGTACAACGGAATGAAATTTGATGAAACTTTCACAGAATCTGTGTTAATTACATATTGTCAATGTGACCTCTTATTTTAGTTTTTGATCGGACACATATTTTTGGTTTCCCACAGCAAAATATGGACACTGCTATTATATTCATATGGGAGGCGGGGGTATCATTAACTGAGCTCATATTTGCTCACAGTACCTCTAGTTTTTAAATTGTTCTTGATATTACTTTTAAAAATTAACAACCAGTATCAAAATCCATTGAAACACATTTTTCTATAGATTGTTCTTCATTTTCATCGCCACTTTATCACAATTTGAAAGTTTTGGTCATAACTTAACCAACCGGAAAAGACTTTAATATTTGTCTGAGGCCAAGGTTTCGCGTCAGACCAGGCTAAAAGAGTGTTAATTGTCCTGAAACAATCTTAGAAACATGCAAACAAACAATTTCAATCGTTTGAAAATGACAAGAAATCGGTGATCATGGCAGTCTTTTACCATCTCAAACAGTCTGAATCATTCATAAAGCTTTGCTAAACGCCCAAGGATATTGACCAAAAGGCATCTGTGTGATGATGAACTGTCAAGTCCCCGGATCTGAATCCTATTGAACACATTTGGGATTTTTACAAGGAATGTCAAAGCCCACTCCACACAATTTCAACGGTTTAGAAAGATCTATGCAGTAGGTGTGGCAGGGGTAGGATGTCTTGCAGTAATTAGAGAGATTGGTGGTCTTACTCCTTAGAGATTACTTTGTGTGAATTTTCATTTTGAAGGCACATCATTTCCTTGACACTTTGCTTATAATTTTGACGTAAAATCAAACTAACATATGCATCGTTCACCATGAATTAAAGAAATTATCTATTGTATGCATTTGTCTGTGAAACTTAAAAAATGTGAGCATGTACACTTAAATGTTTAGTTTAGTGTATAGTATTTATTATATTCATGATCTGCATTTCTTTTATATCAAGAGTAAACATGTATTTAAGGAAGAAAATAAAAGTAAGATTCAAAGTCTGCTTTAAAAAAATCGTATTTATACAGATGAAAGTTTGAAAAAATAGAAGTTTGTCGAAAGGTGGATTCAAACCAGGACAGTAAAATGTTCATTGTGAACGTCTACGGTCTATTCTTTTAAGCTATTTTTGGAGGTAAAAATTTTAAAAGTTGCAAATAAAAATATTTTGGCTACAAATCAAATTTTAAGAAAAAATAGAGGTACTGTGAGAATGAACCCACTAAATGATACCCCCACCCGCCTCTCATATGAATATAATGGTAGTGTCCATATTTTGCTATTGGAAACCCAAGTATGTGTCGGATCCAAAATAAGATAAAAGGTTC